GGGAGATTCCTAGTATTCTCGTTCATAGGGATATTTTAATTGTATGTAAGAAAACAGAGAGGGTGCCAAGTCTTGGTTATGCAAATCATGCGCTCTGAGAGAACAGACTGAATGGGATCAAAATATTTACCAGAAATGACTGATTCATATACAGACCAGATTCCCACTTTTTTTTTTTTAATTTGTTTAGATTTCTATTTTTTCTTAACTAGACTGGTTTCTCCTAACTGAGAGTTCTGGCTGCAGAATTGAGGGATGAGATAGCTTGTGAGCAGCCAACTAAAGCTGTCATCATTTCACATGAACAAGGTTTCACACAGTTATGAATGAGAAGCTGAATGGAAAAACATTATTTAAAAAAAAACTCTTAAAAAATTCAACATTAGAAGTCTTTCAAATATGAACGAAAGGGCAAGAGTGGGCAGGAGAAGAGAAATGAAAGTGCAGTGGGAATCTCCTTTTCTCTACTGAATAGATACAGCATAGTCCACGTAGTACAAGAAAACAATAGAAACCATTGCAAAGAAGAAGAAAATTGTTGTAAAGTAATTAGGGAAGACCAGTTTTACAAGACAGACAGGGTTAAGGGATAGTTGTATCTAGAGAGATTATAAAGTCCAATGAGAACACATGGCTCTCCAGAAAATTCAGAATAGGGAAGAAGTCAGCTGTTAGAGAGTCTAGCTATATCCATTTAAAGTCCACCCTGAAGTACTCCCAGCCATACTTTTATGAACAGGGATGAGAAAATTCTGCTGTTGGTAACAATATATAATTTAAGAGAATTTGAAAGATTCTTTTTTCAATAATTTCTTACATATTTTCTCGGGCACAAAAGCCTATAGGAGCAACTTAAATTCTGTGCTAGGTTATTTCTCCCAGTGAACCAAATACAAAGTTGGAAAACCCTTTATCCTTTTTGTACTGAAGTCACTGTATTCTTAGTTCTGATACGGCACAATATAATGCATTTCTATACAGAAAACAATCACACAACAAAAATTAAGGCAGCATACAAGGATTATTCTTGCAAAACAACTAAGTATAGGGACATATTTTCTCCTTCAGTTGTAATATGTATCGCAGGTTTCCCATCCAGTGGGGATGTGACAGTAGAAGGAGAAACTGAACTTCCAGTCTGTGAGAGCTCCCTGTCCGATGTTTTGAAACAAATCCCACACAGCACTATACGTTCACTTGTCACAAAAGCTTTCAACAGAACTTGAGGCAATGAAAGTCTTTTATTAATAACTCTATGCTTCACTTTATGCTAATATTATCTAAACTGTGGCAGCACTCTCTCAGCACTGAAATGTATACTGTAATTTGCTATTACTCTGTATACTTTTGGATGTAAGCAAAGATAAACAGTTTTAGGTTTAGAATTACAATAAATAAAATAACAATTAATTTCTTGGGGTAATGCTTCAGAGAAAGGAAGGCCAAACTGTGTAAGAAAAAGCCAACTCTCTGTCCATCCATTCCTAGCTAAAAAGTATGTTTTATGTGCATGTGTACATGTATGCACTTGTGTGTATATTCACACACATAAAAATAAAAACATTTTAAAAAAGTACTTCCAATTAATTGAAATATATCAGGTATAATGAGACTGTTACATAATAACTAATTACTAATTGATGAACGTATGTTTCTCTTGAGTCATTATATCAATATTCTGAACAAGAGTCTTTTAATACAGCTAATGTCACAAAATATTTTTTTTGTTTAGATTCCCATAATAAAAATAACACTTCATTATTACAATGGAAGTAGTATCAGTCAGTAAAATGAGTTTAAAAACCTAACTTTAATATTTTCGGAGTTTTGGAGCATTTGTCTATACGACCTGAATTTCTGTTGATGCAGATTTCACTTTTTTTAATGCAGAATTCATAATAATACTCATTGTTTCTCCATGTCTTGCTAGGCCATTATTTATATTATCTGTGGTACGTGATCTGCAGAGACTAAGCAAGTAAGGTACCTTTATTTCGCTGATGAAGAGCAGAGCGGATTCACAAAATAATTTAATGGATTTTACCTAGGAAGGAATGTGTTATGTTAGATAAACTTGGTATGTGAAGTGTATTTTCATGACTACACTTAAATGGTATAAAATACGAATAGTGGTTTTTGGATTTTATTGATAATGGCTAATAAGAAAAAAGATCAGCTATATGATTATGTTGAATAAGACTGGAAACGTTACTGTTTTGAAAATGGATTTAAAACATGTATTCAAATTTTATTTGTAGGAATTTGTTTATATTATCAGAATTATGATTAATGTTGAAATACCTTTACACTGAAGAATGATAATTGTATTAACTAAACGTTTGCACTGGTTTATTGGCAACGATTTTTAAAGTAAACCTAATAGTAGATCATGACCAAAATTCAAACCCTACACTTCAGGCCAAATACTATTAAAGTTTTTCATAAGCTCCTCTATAGAGGAATGAACTTTACTAAAGTAAGTAAAACAAGTATGATTAGCCTCTTTGTTGAAATGACATATGTATTTTACTATGGAGCCCTTGAATTTTGCTGATACTTGATTATATCAGCAGCTGATCAAAAGATTTGCCTGTCATCTGGCCAGCCACCTAGTCTGTGTCTAACTACAGACACAATGGATATAAATAATTCTCAGGAGTTTATAACCTGTTAATGTGATCTAGTTAAGAGGTGGCTAGCAATCATAAGGTTCTGTTTTGAGCATTCTGACAGATGAAAAGTCAATTTAAAGAATCTGCTCCATTAAGAAAATGAGTATTATACAATAAATCATTATTTACCACTGTGATTACAAATGGGCATGACACAGCTCATCAAACACGATCCTGGAACGATTGTTCAAGACAGCGTGTGGTTCCAAATCTAGAAACCATGCATTGTCTCAATTCCCTGGCCTTTCAACAATAAAAACAAACAGGTGAATTAACTGTTTTTCTCTAGTTATGTTTATGGACTTCAGCCAACAAGTCATTACCTATGAAAATTATGAGGCATATCAGCAACACTGATTTTTGAGTGGTTGTTAACACCAGAAAGTTATCCTGGATTGAAGCAGACTATTAATTATAACAGCTATTTTTAAACAACGCTACCTGTGACCCCACCTATTCCCGAAATGAATTATATTACAAGGACATGAAACTACTTTCTGCTATTTCTGAATAATTCCATCAGTAAACAAGCCCTTTTGGCCTATCTTCTACTTTGACACATTCCAAGATACAAATTTGGTCAATAAAAACAAAACGTTCTTTTTAAAAGTCAAAAAAGTCACAGCCAACAAACACAATGTAACTTCTAAACAACTCCCTAGTTTCGCTGTCTCTGCTGCTCTCCTTCTCCCACCCAAAACAAACAGCTCCAGCTTGCAAGGTGCTGACCTGTAATGAGAGACACTGCACATCCATCCCACCCACTGCCTCAGGGGGGAGGTGAGGGCACACAGGCTTTTGCAAGATCAAACTATGGATATAAAACTCAAAAACCTAAAGAAAGGCAACAAAGTATATGATGAGTATTTATCACTCCTAATACAGGTCCTGGTTTTTACCCTGCCAAAAGTACACTGAAGGAACACTAAAACAGTGGTCCCCAAAGACACCCAGGCGAGAGGGTCACAACTGGCCCCCGGAAAGGAAACAGTCAAACATGCAATGTTTTTATAGGGATATCTTATGATCGTGTTACACAGGAGCTTATGAGAAAGTTTGAAAGCTGATGGAAGGAATATTGTGTTATTACTCCCATGGGAATCAGAGCCATTATTGTGCCATTGGCCTGCTTCACTACTATATGTGTTTTACACTTACTAACTCTCATGGTGCCCCTTAACATTAAATTTACGCCAACTCTGAATGTTACCTAATCAAGTTATTTATATAAGTTATTTTAGATAAGCCTGCTTTTAATGTGCTGGGAGGCTCCTTTAAACGGTCTCACATAGTATTTTTTGTTGCATCCTACATTGCTGCTGTTGTACATTCCCCCTCCTCTATATCAGGATATGCACACCTTATATGTATATTAAAGTGTCTACTGTTTCCAAGGACAAGTAGCTTTCACCTTCTCAAACTGAAATACAAAATGAAGTAAAAGGGGAGAGGAAATGAATATTGCAAAGCACATAAAAAAAAAAAAAAAGCACCACAGTTGTAATTAGTGTACAAGAAGAATTTACTGCCCAGTTTCCATTTAATTTAACCGTTTATATAACAGTCCTAGCTCTACAGCTTAGCATGAAGGACACACAAGTAAAAGATGGAGAGAGGCAGTATATTAGACATCTTCTTTAAATTCAGAAGATGACTGATTATCATATACACATATTTAGCTTCATAAAATAAGCATGGTCAAAGTTAATGAACTTGAATACATGAAGCGTGTTAGATTCTGCAGCTTTAGTGGCTTAAGAAACTTCCAGGAATATGTCCAAGGAAAACCTTGTCTCATTTGGCTTAGGAGAGAGCCAGAACTAAGATGTTGTTGCCTTATTCAAGTCAGGCGAACTGAGATAAACAGGACAACTGGAAGTGATTATGGTAGGCAGAATTTCAAAATAAGACTGAGGAAATGTAATAGAAACTGAAAACTTGGGACCTTGAACCCACCTCGGTGTCTATTTTCTTGAGAGATGTGATCAAGTTTTAAACACAAAAACTTAGATTTAAAAAGAGTTTTACAATATCTACTATTAAAACAACTGTTTTCAGAACTATTTTTGTATTTTAATAGGAAAAGGTTGCTTCTGACTCAGGTTTTATTTCATGTATTTAAACATAGCCCTGTGATATTTTGTAACTAGAAACACTGCAGTCATGCCAATGCACAAGGAGGAACTAGAAAATGCAATCCATTAAAAAACAAAACCTGAAACCCATTCACTCAGTAACCAGCAAACTGAAATGCCAAAGCAAACAAACAGCATCAATGATGAAAACACACAAAAATATTAGATTAGCTTATTTTTTAGTCATCTGAGGTATCATAAGCAACACAGATAAGATTTTTTTAAAGAATATATGACTTTAATTTACTTTTTCTCTTTAATGATAAATTTACAATGAAAATGACATGTCCACCATAATTTTGAAATACAACATAGCTACCACCGATTTGCTGCAAATGCCTTTGCATTATATTTGTTTGTGGCAGAGGAGTAAATTTGACAAAAATAAATTATTAATACACATCCACACTTGTGGGATTAGTAGAAAGATGAAATATTTCAACTTAAATAAAAGAAAATAAGAGTCATATCAAATAATAGAAATATTCCTCCTTGATCTCCACAAGCAAGATTTTCCTCAGCACACTGTCTAATACACTAACCTTCATTAAAAAAGTGAAGAAACAAGATCTGTTCATTGAAAATGAGGCAAAAGGAAGCATTTGATGTTGGCCTGGTATTTCGCCTCTTGTCGACTGGGGTAATAATTTTTCCTAACCTCTGGTATAGATGTCAGTCCACCCCCAGAACTCTGAGGCCATTTGTATTGGGAAGAGCACACGCGGCTAATAAATGCATGGCACCCGTGCAACTTCTGGTGCATTTGCAGATCCTCTGAGGCCCCTCTCCCAAAGGCTGTCAAAGATGCTAGTGGCAACTCCTCCCATACTTTTCACAGACAGGTCAAATGGAGATGGTTTTATTTAATTTGGAAGAGGAAGAGTTTGCTCTGCCATCTCTCCATGCTTTCACAATGTGTATTCAAGCATTAGTGGACAAATACATCAAATAAATATCAGATAAAAGCACCCAAAATACGCTCAGTAATGCAAAGAAAGGATATATTTTAGGGTATGGTCAGAGAAGATATTCAAAGCCATTGTTGCTTCTAGAAATGTCAGGACAATTCAGAAATGTCAGTTCCTTTACCGATTTCCAGATTGTAATTGCAGGATCATGTAGCTCCCCCGCTCTTTCTCTCTCTTTCTCTCTCTCTAAATAGGTCTACAAAGATCAGCTGGAAAGTGCAGACAGAATTGTTCACTGGTTAGCTTTACTTAGAGCTACAGGGTATATGTGTGTTTGTTTTGTCTTATTGATCAATCTAGCTTACATTTTTAGCACACACAAACAAAAATCAGGAAAAAGAAAAAGTCGATGAAAAACACGAACAACACAAAACAAATAAGGTTCCAATCGTGCAAATTTTGCTTCACTGAATAAAGCACTTCTTGACACAGTAATGTCCAGAACTCCCCCTCCCCCCAAAAAATACAGGACTGAGACTGAAGCCATTATTTTTTTCTTTTTTTTTCTTTTTTTTTTTTTTTTCCTTAAGGCTATACAACACAAAGAAATAAAGCATGGAAAGAACACCTCATTGGGCTGAACACTTCATTCTTCTGGCTCTGGAGCAAGCCTTTGACAAAGTAACTGTGTGGTCCAAGTTATTTGTCTCATTGGGACAACAACAAAGAAAAGTGAAAGAAAAAGAGAAAAAAATGAGAGAGAGGAAAAAAATAAAAAAGAAGAAGAAGAAAGTCAATGATCCCAACAATAAAATCCAAAATTGACTTTACAATCACAGGTACAAATTGCTCAGGTCGATAATTTCATTTCTCCTAAAGATCACTGTCGTCTAAAACTAATTAGAAGCGCAGGTTCCCGAGGAATTGTCAATATTCAAAGCAAATGTTGGAGTTTAGAAGGTTATCATTCTTCTACTGTGACAGTCTGACGGGGTGACTGGAAATATTGTCATGTGCTGCCAAGTTCAGGGTGTCGATAACGACTGAATCCTTGCTCTGGCTCATGGATCTGTCTCCTATTTGAGCTTCTTTTATAGTGGAAAGACTAAGAAGCCAGAAAAGGTTGAGTATTTCCACCCTCCCATGAGGTTACCCCTTTCCAGTTTGAGATGCACTTTGTCTTCTCTTTCCATGTGGAGCAAGACCCCATTGCTGGCTGCTTCTCTGGTGACGTCCTGATCCCCTGCAAAAGCTGAAATCACTGGGTAGCCGTTTTGCATTAAACTTACCTAAAAAGTGCAAAGAGAGAGAATCTGAGTTTTCTCAATACTCTCAACGACTTGTTTGCCCTGTGCACATCGTTACACTTTTGTGCAGGTTAGACACAGTGTTGAACTAAGCTAAGGCAATGCATGATTTCTGTCATGCATACAAACCTCTTTAACTAAAATAACCTGCAGGCTCATTCACTTGCTGGTTTTATAAATGCACCTTAGTGTCTAGAAATGAGCATTTGAAAAAAAGGAAAGACAGCATCTTCTTTAGATCACAACCCACCTGGATGGTTTGTCTGTTATAGACCTTGACCACGTGGAAACTGAAACTATATATCCCTTTTCTTGGTGCTACAAATATACTGGAAGCAAGATCAAAATGGTTGCCAATATTAACTAATACCTGGAAAGTAAACAAACAAACAGAACAACAACAACAAAAAAAAAGGAGAGAGAGAAAGAGAGAGACAAATCAGACTCCACAGAAAAGCGCCAGTGAAAATCTGACATGAGGTCCACGGCCAATATAAAGCCTAGTCAAAATGGCATTTGCAGCACAATTAAAAGTGCACTGCAGGGGCAAGGAGCCAAGTTACAGAGGCATTTAACAAGCATCGCAGTTCATAAAACGATTTAGTTACGCAAAGATGGCTCCGAAGCCTGTTAAACGAAGTGCAAATGTCCACACCGCACTGCCAATAAAGCGA